AAACCAAGTCTCACTGTATGGGTCAAGGTGGCCTCATATTCACATCGACCCTCCTGCCTCAGCCTCCTGAGCACTTTGACTACAGTCAAGGAGGGTCACCAACCCTGGCTTTGGGTGTGTGTCTTTTATTTATTATTTTTAGCAATGCTGAAGATAGAATCCAAGACCTTTACAGTGACCTACATCTCCAGCCCTTTATTTTTATTTTTTATACTCAGACAAAGTCCCACTAAGTTGCCCAAGGTTGGGCTGGATTTTGCAGTCCTCCTGCCTCAGCCCTGCAAAGGACTGGAATTAGAGTGCTCCACCACACACAGCATGCTTTTGTATCTGCTTCACACTTAGAGATTTCAAAGTTTTCATGAATCCCCCAAATTTTGACATTATGTGCACCTTGTTCACATTTTTCCTTAACTTTCGTCGCATTCCTCAAAAAATGAAACGTTAACATCCAGGTATTTAGACCATGAAGGCAGAGAAAGTCCCTCTGATTAAGAAAGCTCCCTGTCAGGAAGGCTGGTCCTTCTGTGGACGAACTCTACTGGTTTCCCGGAGGAGGGGGAAAGGCCCAGAGTTGGAAGCCGGGCTAGCGGCATGGCCTTGGGCAGGGGCCGAGGTGAAGGATCTATCTGCCGATCTCCCGGCCGGATCCTGGGGCCGCAGGTGAAAGTTCAGGCTGCTGTCAGGACTGGGCCCCCAGCTTGATAGGATTCCAAACCCGGCTGTGCCCCCTCACCTTGGGCTGGCGCCTCCTACCCGACTCCCCCCGCCCACTCCCGGCCACTGCCCCGTCTAAGGAGGGGCCCATACACAGGGAGGGGTGGCGGCCTCCCCTCCGCTCCGGGCAAGGGGGCTGGAAGAGGAAGGACCAGTGGAAGAGAACGTAGGAGAGTCGCTGCGTAACAGTAAGCCGGTGAGGAGGTAGAGGCCTGTCCTCCCAGCAGGCAGGCAGATGATGGAGGAGGATCTCAAGTTCGAGGCCGGCCTGGAACACGCAGTGAGACCTTGTGTGGTTCTGCTGTTAGAGACTTCCGCCGGAGGACCAACAGGAGCCTGAGGCCGGCCTGAGTGCACAGGGAGACCCTGCCTCAAGCCCCCGCCCCAAAAAAACCCCTAAAGACAGAACGTGGGGCTCTGCAGCGGGAGCAGGAAGGGAGACGCTTAGAGGAGAGGTGGGATGTCTAGGCCCCGACGGCAGCGCCCGCAGGCCAGGCCCCGGGTCCTCAGGTTGTGTGAGCTCCTCGTCTCCCAGCAGTCACTCCTTAGGCTGCTCCTGGGCTTTCTGCCTTTGAAGTCGCAGCCCGGGAAAGGAGGCCGGACTCCGGCAGGTTCCGGGTTTGGATCCGGATCCCCACCCAGTCCCAGGCCCTGGGCTGATCTGGGAGCGGCTCCTCAGATGCAAGTGGCCCTTCCCTCGCTCTGACCGTCTCCCTTCTCCCTTCTCTGCCCCCTCGGCAGTGACGCTTCCGTGAGCCCCGAGTGTGAAGGCCCGAGCGCTTCCGGCCCCCCCCCTCCCGCGGCCCGGCCCTGCGCCTGGGCAGCGTCCCCCCGGCTGGTCCGGCGATGCTGTCTGTCTCTGTCCCTCCCGAATCCCCCTGTTGCGTGGCCCTCGTTTCTCAGCTCCTCCAGCTTCGCGGTGTCACCGGTGAGCTGCCCTCCAGGGCGCCACAAGCCCCGGGCGGCCGGCACCCCGAGCTGCTTCCCCCAGTGCCACCCGCGCCTGTCTGGCCTGGCCGTGGCCTGTCCCTTGACAGCTGCAGAGTGTGTGTGGGGGGGTGGATGCAGGGGCGATGGGCTTCTCTCTGCTGCGCCCTGGGTGTTGGGGAGCAGCAGAGGGCACCCAGGTCTGCGCCCGCCGGAAGCCGGAGCTCGGTGCCCTGGCCCGGAGGTGGAGGAGCGGGGTGCAGCCCCTGAGCAGTGGCTTCCTTCTCGCTCCCGCATCTCTGCTGCCAAAGAGCTGGCTGTGCGGCCCTCGCTGGCCTTTTCCTTATGGCGGACCCCGGGAGGGCGGGACGAGGGCGGAGCCTGGGACCTGCCGCGCCTGGCCTCGTGCGGCTTCTCCTTAGGCCTTACGTGGAAGTAGGGGAGACCTAATGAGTTGGGGTGACCAGAGCTCAGCATACTGCCCGGCCGAGCGGGGCTTGGCCTCCCTGGGCTCTGCTGTGTACGTGGGGAATGAATGAATGGATGGACAGATGAACGGCTGGCTGGGTGGACGGACAGACGGACGGGCCGACCGATGACCCAAGCACTCGGGCCCGGGAGTGCAGGTTCCAGCTCTCCGCGCTGCCCCTGAGCTTGGGCCTGAAAGGAATTAGGTAGCGCGTCCTTAATAGAAACCAGGCCAGGGGCTCAGGAGACAAAGGTTCCTGGTCGCGGGCCCCCGCAGCCCCTCCCCGGTGGGCTGGGGTCGGGCTGGTTCCCAGGGTGGGGTGCGTGCCCCGCAGGGGTGGGGGAAGCGCCCCCTCCCTCCCCGGCACATTCCACGCATTCCAGACGATCTGCTCGCCCTGGCTTCCAGGATGTGGATTAGCGTCCTGCACAGATTGGATTTCACCACTGCCACCCTGCCCCGCCCCTCGGAGGGAGCCCCCAGAGTGAGGGTTTGAAGTTGGGAGGAAGTTGTGACCTTTGACCTCTTAGGTGATACCCCGGGCCAAGTTGGAAGGGCTTCAGCCCCATTCCCCTTAGTCCAGGATGGGTCGTGGGGCCCGGCCATGCCCTGGGGTTCCCACCTGCAGTGGTGACATCCTTTCTGCTTCCCCAGCCGCTCGGGGATGATTCCTGCATTCGGCCTGCAAGCGAGCTGTGCGGGGAGCCCAACCCGGGGCCCATGTTGGCGCCCTCTGGCCAGGGATTGGGGTCAGAGGACCGGGAGAGATGGGCTCCAGCCTCGCGTTTGTCTTGTTGCACTCAGACCTCCTTGGGTGAACCCCAAGGAGCTATGAACCAGCAACATAGAGCAGCACCTCGAAAATTCTTTTTTTCCTTGATTTTTTTTTTTTTTTTTAAAAAGACAGGGTCTTACTAGGTAGCCCAGGCTGGCCTGAAACTTGCAGTGATCCTCCTGTCTCAGCCTCCTGAGCGCTGGGATCAGAGAGAGGGCCTGACTTCAGAGATTCTTCTTCATGTGCCCTCCACTTCCTGGTACTTCCTCCCAGCAAGGCTTTTCCTAAAGCATACTTGCTGTGCTGCAGGGGACCCTCGAGACGCTTCCTTTCCCTTTTACACCCAGGCACACACGGTCCCCACGTCCTTGCCTCCTCCTGCTGCGGACCGGGAACAGGGCCTACATGGCCCCGCTTCATGGCGGCTGATCCGAGGCCTGTGTGGAAGCGGTGGACACCTGGGCCAGGCCAGCTCACGAGCTCAACGGGGCCTCTCCAGTCGTTTCCTCCCAGTATCCGGGACTTGGCGGACTTGCCCCTGAACCAAGTTTGCGATCAGGGCTGCACAGATTTGGAGTGGCAACGCACTGGCCAATCCAGTCAGTCTTCAGCCTTGGGGTGAGGGCACTGATTGGGTGGTGAGAGCTACCTCTCCCTGGAAGCTTCCTGGGGTTAATTAATTTGTGAGAGGCCTTTGAGGGCCGCCTGGTCTCACCCAATGCAGAGCACGCCCAGCCGGGCGAGAGGCGAGGCCCTGGGTTCAGTCCCCAACAACAAAAACCCAGCAAAACTAACAAAACCCGAAACCAAACAAAAATCTACTTGTGCAGGACGGCAAAGGGTCCTGTACGTTTTCCTGGGTGTGGTGGCACCCGTCTGTAATCCCAGCAGCCCAGAATCCCAGCACTCTGGAGGCTGGGGCAGAATCGCCAGTTCAAGCCCCACTCAGGCAAGTTGGTGAGTCCTCATTTCAACATAAAAAAAGGGGCTGGAGGTGAGTAGCTCGAAGGTCCCGGCTGGAAAAGAAAAGGAAGGCCAAGGGAGGCGGTGAAAGATGAGAAGCAGACAGGCATGGTGGTACAAGCCTACAGCTGCATTTGGGAGGCTGAGGCAGGGGGATTGCCACGGGTTCAAGGCCAGCCTGAGTGACAAACCCAGACCCTCAGAAACTGAAAAAGAAAGGGGGGAGGGGTTAACTGGGAGGGGAAGGCGGCAGCACTGGTTGTGTGCGTTAGTCACGCCCACCTTCATGTTCGCCAAGGTGCGTCTAAGGTTTCATTTTAAGCACTCCCGCCAATCCTTTGGCTGGGCTTTATAAATATTATCTACCACCACCTACTGCCTGTGAATAGGGATTATCCCTGCTTTACCGAGAAGGAGTTGGGGCCTCAAGTTAAATAATCTTTTAAAGATCTGAGCTAATAAGTGGTTTAAGTCCACATCTGTGCCAGAGGCTTAACCACAGTATTACCTTGCTGAAATTTGTCCGCCGCCAGCACTTCGGGGACAAGCCCACGCGTTCCGGTAGAGCATAGGGGAGGTACCAATGAAATAGTTGCCAGATTAATTAGTGACGGGTCATTTTGTTTGCTTTTGAGACTGAGTCTCACTAGGTAGTTCAGACTGGCCTCGAACTTGTGGCGGTCCACCTGCCTCAGCCTCCCCAGTGGTGGAATGGACGTGAGCCGTTATCCCTGTCCAACAATTCCTGCCTTAACTTTCGTTAACCTTGTATTCTAGTGCCTGGGACCTAGCAGGGTAACAGATGTTGACTGACCAAAGGCATTAGAAAACTAAGTAGTGCAGTTAGACAAACTCCAGGACATTTCTGTTTCAGTTTCTATTCCTAAAAAGTTACCGTCGGAAGACTTACTGCTCGGAGCAGAAGCTCAGGACAGGGGCTGGGGGTTTAGCTCAGCGGCACAACGCTTTCCTCGCAAGCACAAGGTCGTGAGTTCGATTCCTGGTACCGGAAAAAAACAAAACAAAAAAAAACCAAAACCAGAAAAAGAAGCTCAGGAGATAAAAACTGGGACTAGGATTAGAACCTGCCGGGCAGGTCCCGGGACCTAAAACATCCGGGTCTTTTACTGTTACTGTCTCTAATTGCAGGAGTCGGAAAATCCAGATCCGGAACATCCCGCCCCAGCTGCGGTGGGAAGTGAGTGTGGGGTCCGTGGTGAGGGGCAGGGGTGGTGGCCGGGTCCGGAGCCCCGGGTGGGCAGAGGGCGCTCCCCGCCGCGGGGCTGGTTGGTTGCCATCTGCATCCCCAGCTCCCAACTTTCCGGGGTGTCCGCAGGGCGGGCCCCAGCGCGTGGGCGGGGCAGGAAGCCAGCCTCTCCGCAGATCCTCCGCCGTCACATGCAGAGGAAGCGGGGAGTGGGTGTCCAGCGCGTTGGGCTGGGCCTGGGCCGTGCTGTAACTGCCCTCGTCCCCGTCCCCGTCTGTCTCCAGGTGCTGGACAGCCTGCTGGCTCAGTATGGGACCGTGGAGAGCTGCGAGCAAGGTGAGACGGCGGGCGCGCTGGGGTGCCAGGGGTCTGGGGCTGTGCTCTGCCTCGCGCTGGGCGGTGAAATGCACAGGGGAGCTGCTCCGCCTGGGCACCCGGCACCTGGGGTCCTGGCGCGGCTGTAGGCTCCGCTGCTTCTCCCTGGACCTGGGTTCTCTTCTGCTCAGTGGGAAGTTTGGATGAAGTCCTGCTTCCCAGTGTGGAGTACCTTTTAGGGGAGCGACCCACGATTTTGGTAATGATTTAAGAATGCAGACTGTGCATTCCTTTTTTTTTTGGATTTTTGGGGCCGGGTGTCTCTTGAAACAGGTGTCAATCCTCCTGCCTTAACCTCCCGAGTGCTGGGGTTACAGGCAGGCACCACCACTCCTGGCCTCCCAACCCTTTTAACTTAAAAGCGTCCCACTTTTTGGTTTTGGCTGGAATAACCAACAGGTCACCTTTCTTTTTAGAAGCCCCAAAGAGGTCATACAGTTTGACGGGTGGCAGAATCTTTGAAGAGTGGGGCCACAGAAGAAATAATCCAGAATTCTAAATCATAAACATGTGCTAGACTTTTTGGGTTTCTTCATTACTATGGTTATAAATTTCTGCCAGGCCTAGTGGTGTAGGCCTGCAATCCCAGCAGGAAGCTGAGGCAGGAGGATTGCCAGGAGTTCAAGGGCTAGTGAGTTCAAGGGCAGCCTGGATTATACAGCAGGACTCTGCCTGGAAAAAAAAAGAGAGAGAAATGAAAAGAAAACCTAATACACACAAAAAAACACAGATTTGCCTGTTTATGGGGTACCATGGGACGTGTTGATGCACGCATACCCTGGGTGATGCTTAGATCAGGTCAGACGTGGCCTTTGGGGAAAGTGCTTCCGACTTCTTCAGCCACCTGATGCCAGCGAGCCATCTGCAGTCAGCGCCCCGCACCTCTGACCTCATCGACGGCAGTCAGCACCCGAGGCCGCCCCTGTCCCCTCGGCCTCTGCTGACCTTTCTGCTCTCACCGTCATCTTCCTCCCTCCCCTCCCTGATGTCCCCTTCCCTTTCTCTTTTCCTTTATTTCTTCTTTTTAAATACTCTGCTATTTATTTTTTGTCTTTTTGGGACAGCGTCTTGCTATGGCAGTTCAGGCTGGCCTTGAGGTCAGTTTGTAGCCCAGGCTGGTCTCAAACTCACAGAGATCCTCCTGCCTCAGCTTCCTGAGTGCTGGGATAACAGGCGCATGTGCCACCATGCCTGCTGTTTGCCCGTAGTCCATCGAGGGCTTTAGGGACTCGCAGTTCCCTGAAGTGGATAGCTCAGTGTGTGCCCATCTCGTGCCAGGATGTCTGCGATCCTCAGGGCAGGAAACCCCCCTTTGGGCAAGGTGCGGGAGGATTTTTACCCCTTTCCTGCAGGGCTGGAAGCCACCTTGAGCACACACCCACAGGGGACACTGGTTAGGCGTCCTCGGGGACGGGAGGGTTCTGGATGGACTTGGCCCCCAGGCTTCCTCTGCTGCTCCCAGGCTGATTGTGGCTCTGACTTGCTCATCTCGGCCGGTTAGGTCCTCTGACTTCCTGAGGGCAAGTGTAGTTTGTCTTGGGGCTGGGCTTGTGCACTTGTGCCTTGAGCCCGCTGCAGAACCGCTGTACGGTGGCCGCACCCCCTTTCTTCCTGCCTTTTGGGGCAGTTGGGGGGCGGTGAAAATAGGGAAGGAAAGCTCAGAAGATGGACGCTTTGACCCCTGTGACTTGCCTCGGGGGTCTCGGAGGCCCGGCTCACCTGCCGCGTGCCTTCTGCACCAGCCGAGGGGAGCTGGGGCCAGGGCTCACTCAGCTGCAGGCCTGCACGCCGCTAACACCGCTCTTGTCTCCGCAGTGAACACGGAGAGCGAGACCGCGGTCGTGAATGTCACCTACTCCAACCGCGAGCAGACCAGGCAGTGAGTATGGGGTGAGGGTCGGGTTCCCGCGGTCCAGGAGGGCCGGCGTCTCCAGCTCCCTTCGGAGTTTGATCTAGCCAACCCCAGACTCTGAAGAGGACTTTTCCGGTGTCTATCTCCTTTGGGCCTTGTTTACCAGATCTCAAAGGATCAAAAACCTGGAAATTGGTGGCAAAACCATTGCAAGGAGGGCCACCTTTGGGGGGGGGGGCGGGGGCCGGGCCGTTGCTGCGTTGATGGCGCCATCTAGTGACGCTATGGGGAGCTGCGGGGTCCAAAAAAGGGATTCCGGCAGGATGCTGGCTGGACCAGGCCCTTGCAGCAGCGATGGTTGGGATCCCGGGGCGGCTCGTGCTTGACATGGGTCCTGTCAGTCCCACCGCAGCCATTTCTACCTTCTTAGCTGTGTGGCTGAGAAATCATGCTTCTCCCGCACTGGTACCAGCTTTCTTGGGAGTGGAGCCCAGGGCTGGTGTGCGAGGCAAGCGCTCTACCTCTGAGCCGCATCGCTGGCCCTGCCATTTCCTACTAGATGGGTGCATTCTGGGCTCAGAGTGTTCTAGAGGTTGCTGCTGCCTCTGGCCATCCAGGCACCTTGGGCTAGCTTTACACAGATTGTGCCAGCTGGGGGTATAGCTCAGTGGCACAGCACCTGCCTGGCACAGCTCAAGGTCCTGAGTTCGATTTCCAGTACCAAAGAAAGACCGTGCCAACAGTTGCTCATTAACTTCATTCATAACAGTGTGGTGGGTTGAACGCAGGGCCCTCACCAAAGCTCAGTCCCTACCCCTTCATAACTTTTTTTTTTTTTTTGTCTTTTTGAGGCAGGGTCTCGCTATGCAGTTCAGGCTGGCCTTGAGCTCACTTTGTAGCTCAGGCTGTTTTCAAACTCGCGACGATCCTCCTGCCTCAGCCTCCCGAGTGCTGGGATTACAGGCGTGTGCCACCACGCTCGGCAACATTTTTAAATTTTGAGGCAAGGTGTCATGAAGTTGCTCGGGTTGGGCTGGAACTTTTGATCCTCCTGCCTCAGCCTCCCACAGTGCTGGGATTCTAGGCGTGTGCCACCCTGAGCCACTCTTGTTAGCATTTCTAGCCCCCTGGCAGCCTTGGGAGTGGTCAGGGCATGTCCCCTCCCTCCGGTCTTGCCCAAGCCCCAGTTCAGACCCCTTCAGTGGGCATCGGCGTCCACGTGGTGAGCAGACCATCCTGCCGCCGAGCCCCGCTTTCTTCCCGGAGTTCCCTTAAGCTCAGGATGTGCTGGGCTCAGCGGACGTAGACAGCAGACCCTTAGCTCCTCCCTTGCTTCCTCATAAGATTCTCAGAAATCTGTAAGGTGCGCAGTTTTGTCTGAAATCCACAAGCCAGTCCGAGGGAGAACAGGGACTCCGTGTGACCATAACAACGTTGAGCGTAACTCTGCGGTTCCAAGGCTTTCTTCCAAGCTGCAGCAGTTGGTAGATCATTTACATGGTCACAGTGGATGTATTGGCCAATGGAACAGGATTGAGAGCCTGGAAACAAGTCTGTAGGGGCTGAGGATTTAGCTCAGCGGCACAGCGCCTGCCTGGCAAGCGCAGGTCATGAGTTCCATTCCCGGTACCAGAAAAAACAACAAAAAAAAAGAAACAAGTCTGTAGCCCAGGACTGGGTAGTAACCTGGGAAGTGCAGGTGTTGGGGTCAGGCTGAGGCAGGCACCCTGGGTCCTGGGTCTTGAGGGCGTCCCTCCCCCATTGGGCAGGCGGTGGCTTCTCCCATATTTATTTATTTATTTATTTGATCTTTCTTGAGATAGGGTCTTGCTATGCAGTTCAGGCTGGCCTTGAGCTGACTTTGTAGCCCAGGTTGACCTTGAGCTTGCAGTGGTCCTCCTGCCTCAGCCTCCCGAGTGCTGGGATTGTAGGAGTGCGCCACCATGCCCCCCTGGTCTCTTGATTCTTCAGAGCCTTCAAGTTGCACAAGGGGGCAGGGGTGGGGCAGCCTGGGTTGGCGTGACCACTGTCCCTTCCCTGTCCCCAGAGCCATCACGAAGCTGAACGGCCACCAGCTGGAGAACCACACCCTCAAGGTCTCCTACATCCCTGACGAGCAGATAGCGCAAGGCCCTGAGAATGGGCGCCGGGGCGGCTTCGGCTCGCGGGGGCAGCCCCGCCAGGGCTCGCCGGTGGCCTCGGGGGCCCCAGCCAAGCAGCAGCAGGTGGACATCCCGCTCCGGCTCCTGGTGCCCACCCAGTATGTGGGTGCCATCATCGGCAAGGAGGGTGCTACCATCCGTAACATCACCAAGCAGACCCAGTCCAAGTGAGTCTCAGGGAGGGAGCAGAGGCTGGGGCCTGGGGGTGATCAACGTTTTCCTCTTAAAAATGTGGTTGTGGACCTTCCAGGGTCACTGCCTGCGATGCTCCCCCCATGCAGGGGTGAGCAGATGGAGGGGAGGGACTGGGGTGCATGCTGGTAGCAGTGGCTGGGCTGTCATGGACAAGATTTCTCAAAAGCTGGGCCGGGGATATAGCTCAGCGGCACAAGCACCTGCCTGGCAAGCGCAAGGTCCTGAGTTCAATTCCCAGTACCAAAAAAAAAAATATATATATATATATATATATATATATAATCAAAAGCTGGGCATGGTGGCGATCTGTGCTCAGAAGGCTGAGGCAGGAGGATCACCGCAAGTTTGAGGCCATCCTGGGCTACATAGTGAGTCCACGACCCATCTGAACTACGAAGTGGGACCCTCTCTTGATCCATCAATGCACCGATAAAAGGGCTCTCTAGTGTTTCCTGTGAAGTTTCACTGAAGGTCTCCCTAAATCAACTCAGTCTTGAAGTCAGCTTCTCCCTGTGCTTGGTAACTTCCTGATGGTTAGTGGTGGCCCCAGGGCTGGCCAGAGTGGGGGCCGCCATCCAAGGTCATCATGAGGTGGCGTCTGTCTGTGACGACGGCTGATCAGTCTGCCCGGCTGGGACACGCAGGCGGCATTCTGTCCTTGCTCATAAGTGCCGGGACGGTGTCTTCCTGCTACTGCTGCAGGGCCAGAGCGAAGTGGGCTCTAGCTCAGCCCCCTCCTTCCCGGCCCCTGGTAGACTCGGGGGGCTGAGTCAGCGTCAGCCTGGACCTTCTTCGCCCCCCAGTTTTGCCCTTGACCGATCTTCCTCGAAGAGGGGAGGGGTTTTGGCCGGAGAGGAGCCCCGGAAGCCGCTGTCCCCGGGGAGCTGATGGCTCTGTCCTGTGCTGCAGGATCGACGTGCACAGGAAGGAGAACGCGGGCGCGGCTGAGAAGGCCATCAGCGTGCACTCCACCCCCGAGGGCTGCTCCTCCGCCTGCAGGATGATCCTGGAGATCATGCACAAGGAGGCCAAGGACACCAAGACGTAAGGACCTGCGCGCTGGGTCTCTGGGACCGGGGCCTCGTCACACACCGGCTTGCTTTTGAGTTTGGGATCCTCCTGCGTCAGCCTCCTAGAGTGCTGGGATGATAAGGGTTCCAGACCATGATTCTCCTAGCTGCACCCACATTTAAATAGCGATAATAAGCTGATGTGGTGGCGCACAGCACTCAGGAGGCTGAGGCAGGAGGATCGTTGTGAATTCGAGGCCAGCCTGGGCTACAAAGTGAGCTCAAGGCCAGCCAGAACTGCATAAGAAGACCCTGTCTCAAAAAGACAAAAAAAATTTTTTTTAAATAATAAGTAAATAAATAAATAGCAATAATAACACAGAGGTTGTGAGACACATGAAGGGTGGTGAATGTTTCAATTTTTAAAATGTGTTACAGTAGAGCTGGGCGTAGTGGCGCACGCCTATAATCCCAGCACTCGGGAGACTGAGGCAGGAGGATCATTGTGAGTTCAAGACCATCCTGGGCTACAGAGTGAGCTCAAGGCCAGCCTGAACTGCACAGGGAGACCTTGTCTCAAAAAAGACAAAAAATAAAATAAAATGGATTACAGTAAAAGAAACATTGCTGTTAATTTCCTTCAAGTACTTTCTCCTTGTTTCTGGTGCTTTCTGAAGCAGCTCCCAAAGTCCTCACTCATGAAGCCTTCTCTCTCTTGGTTGTTTTGAAACAATGTCTCACTGTGCAGTTCAGGCTGGCCTAGAACTCGCTTAGGTAGCCCAGGCTGGCCTTTAACTCAATCGGTCCCCCTGCCCCAGCCTTCTTAGTGCTGGGATTACAGGTGTGCACCACCACGCCCGGCTCTCATGAACATCTATATAAGATGTGATTTGAAAAAAAAATATAGCGAGTGCTGCTGCTGAGGGCCATCCAAGGGAAAGCCAGGCTGTAGAAGCACGACAGTGCCCTTACCCACCTTATTCACTGGTATCAGGCAACTTCTGGCTTTTCCCTGTCAAAATGACCGGGAAAGGGAAGCATTTTGTTTGTTTGTTTGTTTTTTGTTTCTCTTCCAGTACCAGGAATCGAACTCACGACCTTGTGCTTGCCAGGCAGGCGGTTTGCTGCTGAGCCAAATCCCCAGCCCCAAGGGAAGCATTTTTAATCAGTTCTGGATATCAGGGCAGTCACAACAACAGAACTAAAGACATTCATGAAAGAGGACTTCAGAGCTCCTTCAGAAAGTGACAAGGCTGGGTGTGGTGATGCACGCTGTAATCCCAGCACTCAGGCGGCTGAGGCAGGAGGATGGCTGAGAATTCTAGGCCTGCCTGGGCTCCATAGTGAATTCAAGGCCAGCCTGAAACATGTAGTGAGACCCTGTCTGAAAACAGTGGCAAGAATAGTGGGATAAGTATGTTTAAAGTGAACAGGGAGGAAAAAATAATAATAAAAAATAAAGTGAACAGGGAGGGTATTTACACCAGGGTTTTGGTTTTTGTTTTTTTGCCTTTTTGACACAGGGTTTCATTATGCAGTTCAGGCTGGCCTTGAGTTCACTTGTAGCCCAAGCTGGCTTCGAACTCAGTGATCCTCCTGCCTCAGCCTCCCTGGTGCTAGGATTTCTTCACATGCACTTTTGAAGCCTGCCTTTGTCGTGCAGTGATACACACGTTCCCTCCCTGTGGGCACCGTCATTATCCACACAAAGCAGTGGCCCCCGATTCCCACGCGCCCCTGCCAGCTTTTGCGCCTGACACTTTCGTCCAGGAAGGCGGAGGTGGTGCTTTGGCTGAGCCCCGTGACCACCGCTGAAGGCGCTCCTGTTGCCCGTGTCTCCCGCAGGGCTGACGAGGTCCCCCTGAAGATCCTGGCCCATAACAACTTCGTGGGGCGGCTCATCGGCAAGGAGGGGCGCAACCTGAAGAAGGTGGAGCAGGACACGGACACGAAGATCACCATCTCCTCGTGAGGCTCCCACGGTCCCTGCTGGGGGTGGCGCGGGGCGGGGTGCTTGCCCTTGAGCCCTGGCCCCGCCTTGAGTTAGGGGTGCACGGCTCACTGCAGGTGGTGCGGGGCACGCCTCTCCTTTAGCCGCAGTTGGCCGTGCCGGGTGGGAACGGAGACAGAGCCCCTCCCTCCTTGTCCCAGACGCTGTCACTGTCCTCTGCCACATCTTGAGGGCAGCCTGCAGCTCGGACCTGGGGCTGCCCGTCCTTGTCCTTGTCCTCCGATGCTGTGGAACTCAGGGCCCGGTTAGCTCGTCTGTAAGTGCTGTGCCCTCTCGGTCTCTGAATGGGCAGAGTAAGGCTGACAAGGTACAGGCAGAGGACAGCTTAGGGGACGCCGGCTCTCACAGCCTTGCGTCGGGATCAGTGCCCGAGCCTGTCACAGCTGCTTCATGTGGGCGTGGCCAGCTGTTGCCCTGGTAACCCCCTACATCCCAAGCTTGGAAATAATAGAATAGAGTCACTTGCCAGAAGTTAGACAGGCTAGGTTGGATGCACACCTGTGATCCTAGCACTTGGGAGGCTGAGGCAGGAGGATTGCTGCCAGTTCAAGGCCAGCCTGGATTACACAGCCAGACCCCGTCTCAAAAAAGAGGGTTAGAGACAGAGGCAGAGAGAGGTTAGGCAGCCTAGGGACAGCCGGCTGCCCGCAGTGGCCTCTGGCCCTCGTCCCCAGCCGGGGCTTGGTCCTGGTGGTTGGTAACGCTCCCACCCCTCCGTCTCCCACCAGGCTGCAGGACCTCACGCTCTACAACCCCGAGAGGACGATCACCGTGAAGGGCGCCATCGAGAACTGCTGCCGGGCGGAGCAGGAGATCATGAAGAAGGTCCGGGAGGCCTACGAGAACGACGTGGCTGCTATGAGTGTGAGTCGCACCCCTCCGCTGCCCCTCTGCCCAGACAGACAGGAGCGCAGCAAGACATCAGGCGCTGAGGCGGAGTCAGTCCGCGTAAAGATGTCAGGCCCCGAAGGCATGGGACGGAGGTTTTTGTGTGGGGTTTGCCAGCAAGAAGGGAGCGAGCTTGGCTGTCTCTGGTTAGTTCTGAGAATGTGCCTCAGTGACCAGCCGTTTCTGAGAGACTGAAGTAACAGCAACTGTGACCTTCGGCACACCTGTCATCCCAGCACTCGGGAGGCTGAGGCAGGAGGATCGTTGTGAGTTCGAGACCAGCCTGGGCTACAAAGTGAGCTCACGGCCTGAACTGCATAGTGAGACCCTGTCTCAAAAAGACCAAAAAAAAAAAAAGAAACTGAAACTGATTCATGCTTGCTGGGGGGCGGAGCGCTTCTGCTACACACCCACAGCCAGAGTCCCTGAGGGGCCCATGCCCAGGGGCCCTGGTGCACAGGGTCACTTCACCAGTGATGAGGGCCCACCCACACCCAGGTGCTGGGCATCGAACCTGCGGCTGCACGGGCACTGCCCTGAGCTCTACGGCCAGGCATGTGCGTGGCCTGGAAATGGGCTTTTCCAAGTGCTTTGTGCAGTGGGGGGGTCCACTGTTGGGTTTCACAGATCACTGCAGTTGGGATCCAGTGCAGGGCTCCGAGTCGGTCATCTTTCTATAAATGATTATCGCTTTCATGCAGATGTGGTCCTCATGTAAAATTGGTGATTTCTGTACACTTAGCGGCAAGAGGGTTCATAATCTTGGTTGGAATTTTTTTTTTTAGAGATAGGGTCTCATTATATGTAGTTCAGGGTGGCCTTGAGCTCACTGTTAGTCTGGGCTAGCCTCAAACTCACAGGAATCCTCCTGCTTCAGCCTCCTGAATGTGCATGGGTTTTTGGCTTTTGGCCTTTGGTCTTATGAGACAAGGTCTTGTTCCACAGTTGAGCCTGGCCTTGAGCGCACTGTGTAGCCCAGGGTGGCTTTGAACGTGTGATCCTCCTGCCTCAGTCTCCTGAGTGCACCACCACCCCTGGCTCCAAGTATATGTGAAAGTAGGAAAAAACCACAGGCCGGCAGGTTCTTGCACCAGCTCGTGTTATCCTTGCAGTGGGGCTCCCCCTGGGGAGCTCACCCTGCTTGTTTAGCCAGCGTCACACGCCAAGTCCCTGGCTCCACTCTTGTGAGCTGCCCTTGACTTTGACCTACTAACCTGCTCCGCACCTCTCTCTGTAGCTGCAGTCCCACCTGATCCCTGGGCTCAACCTGGCCGCCGTGGGGCTCTTCCCAGCCTCGTCCAGCGCTGTCCCGCCGCCTCCCAGCAGTGTCACGGGGGCCGCTCCCTACAGCCCCTTCATGGTAGGCGGGGACCCGTCCCAGGCGGCCTCCCGAGGGGCTGCAGCTCCCTCCGGAGTCTCTGGTGCCCAGGCAGTTGGTGGGGGTGGGGGGAGGTTTAAGGGCCCTTCTGCACTGCTTGGGGCCATCAGCTTGGGCAGAGTCCCCCAGACGCTGCCTGAAAGCTGTGGCACTGCCCGGTGCCCGCCTCTTGCCCCTCCCGGGCTCACGGTACCGCTGGCCACCCAGGGCTCGAGGCAGGGGCTTGGGGTCCCGGCCCTCACTCGGCCTGGCGGTAAGGTGCCCTGTCCCGCAGCAGGCCCCGGAGCAGGAGGTGGTGCAGGTGTTCATCCCCGCGCAGGCCGTGGGCGCCATCATCGGCAAGAAGGGGCAGCACATCAAGCAGCTGTCCCGCTTCGCCAGCGCCTCCATCAAGGTACCCGCGCCCGCGGTCTGCCCCCCCCCCCCCCCCCCCGGCCTCACGCTTGCTCCCTCTGCTCTCGACCTTGCTGGGTCCTCTGTGGGGCGTCCGGGGCTCCGGAGCTTCCAGGCTGGCCAGGAGCAGCCTTGTGGGTGCAGCACCAAGAGTCTACACGCCTGAGCCCCTGGCTGGGAGTGCGGAGGGGCAGGAAGCCTGGGAAAACGTCCCCCTGTCGCCTGTTGCTCTGTAGATCGCACCCCCGGAAACGCCGGACTCCAAGGTCCGCATGGTCATCATCACCGGACCGCCAGAGGCGCAGTTCAAGGTGACGATCGGATTAGTTTTCCCACCCGGAAAGGTTGCGGCTGCTTCTCCCAGCTGCCAAGTCCTCGTTCCACCCTTTCCTGAGGGTGCGCAGCCCCCAGCGGCTCCGGGCGGCGGTGGGGGGAACGAAGCCAGAGGTCTTCACATGCGATGCTAAACATCGTTAGGTTGTTGCACTTGCAGTCAGGAGGCCAGACTCCCTGACTCCGGTGGGACGGGACGGGACGGGACGGGACGGCTTCCTGGCCTCGATCAGTGACCTCAATCAGTGACCGTTCACGGCCCCGAAGTGCTGGTCCTGGCCACATCTGAATAAACGCGGTCATTCCAGACCGTGCAGGTCTGCTTTGTAGGGTCTCAGTTATATCCCAGGATGAGTTTATTCAGTTGTCCGAATAGTGACCTCCCTGGGTCTCCGGGCTTACAGGTGGGCAGGGGACACCGAGGTCACAGGGGTCCACCCTCCCGGGTTGGGCTGAACAGGGGGCTGGCGCTTGGGGTTGCTTCCTTTGGCCCCCGCCAAGAGGCCGCCTGATTGATCAACACCTCCCCTCCCAGGCTCAGGGAAGAATCTACGGCAAACTGAAAGAGGAGAACTTCTTCGGGCCCAAGGAGGAGGTCAAGCTGGAGACCCACATACGGGTGCCGGCTTCTGCTGCGGGCCGGGTCATCGGCAAGGGCGGCAAAACGGTGAGCCCGAGGGCCAGGCGGGGGCCAAACCACCAGGGCTGTTCTGGCCTCCTGCCTGCTGCTCTGCGTGCCGTGGGGCTCCCCATTTGCTCCCCAAGTTGCCTAGCTCATTACCCGTCATCCACCAGGCCTCTTGCCTTCCTGCCTGGCCTCTGCTCCCCTTTCTCCCTGTTTTCTTTGCGGTGCCATGCTGCAGTTGGAACCCATGCCCTGGCAATGCCAGGCCCCGCCGTGCTTTCTGGGCAGCACCTGAGCCCTGGCCCCCCCCCAGGTGAACGAGTTGCAGAACCTGACAGCAGCGGAGGTGGTGGTGCCAAGAGACCAGACCCCGGATGAGAACGACCAGGTCATTGTGAAGATCATCGGGCATTTCTATGCCAGCCAGGTACCCACAGGGCCAGTCTCGGAGGGAGGCAGGAGCAGGAGCAGAGGCGAAGGCTCCGGAGGTTGGCTTTAGCCTCCTGCCCGCTGGGGTGATAGGCGTGTGCCCCCTTCTGGCTCGAAGCCTGCAGAGAACGCAGTTCTCCCGAGATCTGAGCTAGCCCGGTGAGGGAACTGGAAGCCCAGCGAGAGCCGAGTTCTGTAGGAGGAAAGTTCTAAGAGAGAAGGAGGAGAGAGCCAGACGCCCGGGCCTGCGCCCGTTCCCGGCAGAGCTGGTTAATCTCGCTGCTCTCGCTAGGCCGCGGCTGGGTGTTCGTTTCCCTCTGGGACTCGCCTCGCTGTCTCAGAGCCTGAGGGAGCGCCCGTTCCGGGATCTGTGACCCCTCCGCCTCCGCCTGTTCTTGCTGTCCTAGATGGCGCAGCGGAAGATCCGAGACATCCTGGCTCAAGTAAAACAGCAGCACCAGAAGGGGCAGAGCAACCAGGCCCAGGCTCGGAGGAAGTGACCAGCACCTTCCTGTCCCGTAGACTTCGGGCCGCGGGGGCGCCGCACCGGAGAGCCCGCTGTCCCCTCGCAGGCCTGAGAGTGTGTGGGAATCGGGGACCCCGGGGCCGGCAGGAGATCAGGTTTGCCCACCCACTTGACAAAGCTGCTCGGTGAGGAACCTGATCTCTGGCTCAGTCAGACCCTTGACCCACCGGCCCACGCCGCCCATCCCGCGGGTGTCACCATGGAAACCAGCTCAGGGTGCTTTTAAACGTGGATTGTTGCAGGAAGTTCTCCAGGCCCCCCCCACCAAGAAGGTGGGGTTGGGGCCCATGGGGACGAGAAATAAAATTTCCTTCAGGTTTTTAAAAACCTCAAAGGATGGTTTGTTTCTTGACCCTAAAATCTCTCCAGTTTTCTTCCCCCTTCTTGGTTAATTGGTTAAAGTATCCCCAGTCTTATTTTGGGGATGCAGCCCAGCTTTCCTCCTGTGTTCACGCTGTTTTTCTTGACCACACCAAGAAAATGTGGGAACTAACTAGCGCAGCGTGGCGCTGCTCAATACCAGGCCTGTGGAGAGGACCCCTCCTTCTCTGGGGCTTAATTCCAATCTTTCCCAGTAGGAACTGCAGGGAATAAAAAGAGCAGGGGAAGCCGGGCATGGTGGCGCATACCTGTCATCCCAGCACTCGGGAGGCTGAGGCAGGACTGCTTCCAGTTTTGAGACCAGCCTGGAATAGTGAGCCCTGGTCTCAAATACAACAAAACAAGAAAATTGAAAGAGGGGAGAGAAATGGGGAGAAAGATGATTAAAATACCTGGTAATCCACGTTTAAAAGAAGTGCCCTTGGACTGGGGATATATAGCTCAGTGGTCCAGCACTGCCTAGCAGGTGCGAGGTTTTGATCCCCAGCACCAGAAAAACACAAAAACAAAATGAGAGTGCCCTCTGGGCTGACCTAGTCCTCATTGCCACTGTTTTGGAAAATTGGCACAACGAAAAGCTGTCCCAGTCTGTCGGGGCCTCCCCGCCACACGCACATCCCTTGAGCCCCGGGGGTTCCGTATCGTGTCTGGGGGGCGTGTGGGGGCACTGAATGCCCGGCAGGGTGGGTAGGGGCTCGCCACTGTCCCTGACTCCCATCGTTCTCAGGAGGATTTTATATTTTTTTAAAGTCTATTTTAATGATTGGATGTGAGCACTGGGAAGGGGCCCTGAACTCCCCTTGATAAAACCTCAGTTCCGTGGAGGACTGGAGTGGCCCAAAGGAGCCCGCGCCCCAGCCCCCTTGCTGCCGGAAGGGCTGGTTCCTGGGAGTGAGGGCTGGGGCCCATTCCCCACCACAGCACTGTCTCCCCTGGTGGTGGTGGGACTCGGCACCCAGGCCCGACCTCCCGCTCAAGCTAAGGTCCATCATCTGGCAAATTCAGTCAATTGGAGAGAATTTACTTGTTTTAATCCTAGCGGAGTATTTAACTGATGGTTTCTGGCTCCCTGAATTCTTAACTGTCATGGTGAAAGGTGTGCCTAAAACAGAATTCCGAATACTAGCAGCATGATGCGTAGCGAGGGGGTAAATAAGATTAATTTATTAACTCACCAGGCTCGAGATCCCGCCAGAAGTTCAGCCCTTGGCGGAGGGCAGGAGCCATCAGTTAAACGATCCTAGGGCTCGGTGATTGTCAATGCATATTACCCAGGTGATGCACTTTAGCTACCCTGGACAGAACTATCAATGTGCCGGGAGGGAGGAGGCCTCTCCGTGCCCGTGGACGCCCCCCTTCCAACGCTGCAGCAGTGACAGTGATGACGAGACAACCGTGACGTGTGGGTGGTGGGTGTCAGGCAATGCTGTGTGTGAAGTAAACTACCTCAAGGTATGAAGTTACCTCAGCCATTGTTTCCTTTTTGTTGCCCTCAACCCTCTTTTTTTTTTTAATTATTTTTTGATCTTTTTTTTTTTTTTTTTTTTTCTTTGCGGCTTGCTGATATTTTATATAAAAAAGAAAAGAAAAGCAAAAAAGAGAAGCGGATAGTCTTGAATATTTTATTTTTTTAATGAAAAGAAAGAAAAAGTTATGTTTCAGAATCTCTTACGCTGTGAGCCAGTCACCTGTTAGGACGACAGGCCCGCTGGGAAGGGCCGGGGGGCGCGGCCCAGAGCCTTGCCGGGCTCTGCCTCTGGCTTTGGACGCCCTGCTGGCATGTCCCGCCGACGGGGCTGAGAGGGCCTCGTGGAGCCCGGGCACCTGGGCCCCAAACCACCACCCGGCCGGCCCTGGGCTCCCCTCCCCTGTGGTTAAATGGCGCCCGGGCCAGTCTTTCCCTCCAGCGGTGCCGTTGTGATATTTTAAAATAGTGCCTCCGTTTTATCGAGGAGAGAGATAATACCTAAAAAACATACCCTTTCAAAAATAAAACAAAACCTGTTTATCTTTCTGTCTAAAAAAATAGGGGAGCCAAGGTCCGGTTCACAGGAGGAAGACAAGGCTGCCTCACCTGCGGGGGCCCGCTGCCTTGCCGGGGCGGGCTTGTCGTGTGGCTTCCGGTGCTGGTGTCATCTCCGGCCCACCTTGCTCTTCACAGTGTGCCCATAGCTGGGGGCAAACCGACCCTTAGGTGACTCCCTGCCCGCACCCCCTGCCCCCCTCAGGCGAGGTCCACTGACCGATTCTGAAAGTGGACCCTGTTACACGGTGCTTGATTAAGGGAGGCGAAGGAGAGGAGGGCGTGGAGCGGCGGCAGGTGCTTGCCCTCGGACGGTGTCGTCATCGTCCCCGTGACGTCCTGTCGCGGCCCCCAGAACTGGAGAAGGCATGTAGGGGTGATGGCCGGCCCACAGAATAAGCCCCCCGCCTGTCCCGGCCGCAGAAAGGGTCTCCCAGCTCCTTCCCGCCTGGCTCTGCGCTCTGTCCCAGCCTGAAGCAGATGACGTCCAGACTTTGGCCCTGTAGTGATTAAAGTGGATTTTCAGCAGCAAGCATGCTTTGATGCCGGTTCAGACCATCATCAGGAAAAAAGAGAAAGCCCACAGTATCTGAAATGTGATTGTTGCAGTGTTAGGTTCCTTGGGGGCCTGCGCCCTCACACCTTAGGTCGTTCGCGATGGGGCCGCCACGCGTGACCCTCCCAGCCCAGGGGACTGTCACGCGTGGGCCACCGGTGGCTCAAGCCGGCGGGAACGTGTTAAGCCCGGGTCCTTTTCCTCCGGCTCGTTCAGCTCCCGAGAGAGACCAGGACGGGGGCGAAGGCCCAGAAAGCTTCCTGGAAGTGGGCAGGCTGCGCAGCGAGGTTTGCCCGCTCCGAGCAGGCTGCGGGGACAGACTTGGTGGCTCAGTGTCGCACGGGGGGGGGGGGCTGTCTGGGACCCGGGCCAGGTCTTAGGGTGCCTCCTGGCCGAGTCCTTGGTGAGATCCAAGCTGTCTCAAAGCACTTGGGAGAGGCGGGCGGTTTTGAGAAGAGCGACTTTCTGGGATATGTGCACGCTGCACATACATGTTTGTGAAAGGACCATCTCTTTATGTTTTTGAAACTCTTTGAAACACATAGAAAGCCAAAAGGGTTTGGTTCACTGACTGACTTGGAAGCTGCGTCTGCCAGTTGCACCTTGATGGCTTTAACCCCTCGAGGGCCCGGGCGCCTTGCAGAGAGGCGCGTGCAGAGGCCAGCGCCGGCCCTGCCGCTGTCCGGGGCGGGGAGGGGTAGCGCCCTCCCCGCCCCATCAGTCTCTTCCTTTTTTCTTATCTATGCCTCAGTGTTGGCAGTTTAAGAGCCCCTGTGAGACCCAGAGGACACAGGAGGGAGCTCTCCGAGGGGTTCTAGTGTCTCCACCATGCCAAAGACAGACAGAGGCCGAAAGTCATCTGCCACCATCTCCGGAGCGAGGGGCCCGGACGTGGGCAGCGCCGGCTCCTGCCTTCCCCTGGGGGAGCCGGACGGGTCCGCGGGCCCTGGTTGCACTTTGGGGACGGAGAGGAGGCCCGGGTTCCTCCCCGAGGGCCCCGACCCCTGCCCCCCTGCAGAGATGGCACCGCAGAGTTCCCTTCAGGCCTGGCAGACTGGCGACGAGGGGGGGCCTCAGTTGACTCTCCAGGGTGCCTTCCCCTCCTCGGGCCCAGAATACCCTCTGCCAAAGCGGGAACGGGTGCTGCTAACTACCTCACGGAGCCCCCGGGGCGCCGCGCCTTGGGGCACCCCTCCCTGCACCTCTGCTCCCAGGGCCGGGGTCCCCCCTCTCCCCCCTCAGGCGTCCCTGGGGAGATGCCAGTGGCTTTGCCATTGAAACCACGCGCATGTTTGGTGGAAACCAGGGCAGGGAGACCGCACAGCCTGACGGTGACTGCAGGAAGACTGAAGCGACATCCTCACGATGCCAGGGGACGCAAAGCCATTTTCCCTCCGGTCCGCCGTGCTTTAGATGCAGAGCGACGCGTTTGACTCAGACGCGGAGGAAGGCCGGCTGGAGCTTCGGGCTCTCCCCGCGGGGTGCGGGCAGAGGAGGGGCCCCACCGCCCACGCTGGGTGCCCCTGCCTGGCGGCGCCCCGGGAGGGAGGGATCCGGACTGACAGATGAATTTTGTTTTTCTGAGATGAAATAGCAGGAAGCTCCTGAGGAGCGCTTTTGAGTGACCGCAGGCGAGGAACGCTAGAGCGCGGACGGATGAACTACCTCAGCCCTCACAGGGAGGTGGACGAGGGCTGGGCCTCGGCGTGCGCTTCCAGGTCCCAGCCGGAGAGGCGGTGCCGTGCGTGCCGGGAGGGTTTGCGGGGGACAGCACCCCGCGGCCGCCCTCCCCCCGGGGGGCGGGAGGTGACCTCAGACTGTGACCTCGGGCCGGTCTCTCGGACGCTGGGCTCTGGGAGGAGAGCCGAGCAGGATTCTTTGCCCTGGGGGAGCCCAGGGGTCCCCAGACTCCCCCAGGCCTTCTTTTAGTCGGGGAGCCCCTCCCCACCCTCTAATGGACCTCCTCATAGACCCCCGCTTTCACTTTTGTTTTTATCTACCTCTTAGCAAAACAATAGAGAGAAATTAGGTAGTGGCCAAGCACCACTTGCTTAGGTTAGAGGGGGAAAAGATTTCTTTCTCCAAAGGGAAAAAAAAAAAATTACCTTAAAAATACTTTCCAAAAAACTTAAAAAACCAAAAAAAAAAAATTTTTTTTTTTTTTTAAGGAGGGAAACTTTCCAGTGACCGCTGGATTGTTTTAATTTCTAAATTTCCTTGTTGGTTTTTTTTTTTCCCCCCCACAAATAAGTTCCACTCTTTGGCGATTTTCACTTAGCACGCTAGCTACGGGCAGGCGCAGACAGCTTCGAGCGTCCCGGCCGTGGGACTGCGCCCCGTCCCCCGGGCAGGATGGAGGCCTCTGTGTGTGCGCTGTGGACACGGTGAAGGCTTGACTTGCTGTGTCCCTTCGGGGGTGCTGGGGGACCCTGCGTGACATTTCCTGCGTATCTGGCGTAAGCCACTGCTAGTAAAGGCGTTTGAAATGGATTTCCGCACCCCGCACCCGCCCTGGGGGTCTCCCTTTTCTCCAGAGCTAGCGAGCACCTCAGTCTGGCCGCCAAATAAGTCCGAAGACCGTGGGCCCTGGGGCAGAGCCGTTGGTGTGCGGCTCAGCGGCAAGAAATCCAGTTTTTAGGAACGGGAATTGGGAGGGGTGGGGGCTACTACTTGTGA